ACAGGTAGTACTAAAAGAGGTGTGTTATGGAAGCATCCTGTCACCTAGTGGCCCGGGGCTTCTGTGAATCTTGATTGAAGCATCTTCATGCCGCCTCACTGTGAAGTGCTTCTGTGTTTATTCCTCCATGTGGTCAACATCTGCTGGGTGTTGGCTGGGTGTATGGCCCAGTGCTGGCACTCAGGGGGACCACATGTAAAGATGGAAGACCCTGGAGGCTGAGCTGAGCAGATGGCATAATCACAATTTCTTTATCTTGACCACGGACCTCAGCTCCCCAGAAGGCCAGGTGGGAGTGTGGCCAGAGCTAGGGTGGGGTGGGTGGGGGTGGGAGGGAGGAGGGAGGAAGAGGGCGGACTGTATAATCTACCTGGGTGTCACACGAGACTGTCAAATGTGAGTGTGGCCACAGGAACTCATCTTCACTGGTCAGCCCACTTTTTAACACTTCCTTTCACAAAACGCGAGGGGAAGGACAACTGCTGGTGCAATCCCCATGTCAGGTCCTCTCATCCTCTGGGCTCGCACACAAGTGAGAAATCTGAGATCCTGCTTGAGCCCTCCCTGTGACTTCTCCCTCTCTGGAGCTTACATTTTCCCTTTTTTCTTAAAGCCTCCTGTCCGAGGAGGCCCGGACTGTCACAGTGTGGCCAAGAACACTGTAGAAGGCCCTCTCTGCTCCAGGCTTGCCCCCCTGATGCCCCGTTTACCACACAGCAGGTCTGATCCTTGCCTTCAGCTCACTTCAAACCCATCGGGGCTCCCCATAGCCCTTGGAGTAAAGGTCCCAGGTCCCTGGCAGATGGGAGAATGCTGACAGATTCTGGTATTTGCTTGAAAGAAGGCAGCAAGGGCCTTCTCTGGGCCAGATTCTGTTCTACGCGCTGGGGATCCTGGGGCAAGAAACACAGGCAAGGCCCCTTCTCCTGGGGGGCTTGTTCTCTGGCGAGGGAGCCCCTGAAGCCAAAAGCAATGACCCAAACCGGCATCTATCATGTGATGATACATCAATGAATGCTGCTAATGTCACTATGAATGGAGAGTATTCTGGGGTCCACATGTGATGTGGGTGGCCAGGCAGAGGAGTCCTCTGGGAGGAAGGAACGTTTCAGCTGACTTGAATGAGCAAGAAGAAGACTAAGAGGCTGGCACCGTTATAAATTCTTGGGTTGGATTGTCCCATACAGAGGAGGAGAGAAGGCAAAGGCTACAGGTGGGAGTTAGCTGGGCGTGCTTCGGGGCCAGTCGAGAAGGCCAATGCAGCAGGACTCTGGTGACAGGGGCTGGAGGTAGGTGGTGAGGGAAGAGGAGGCCAGTTTCCAGGGTGGGGGGCTGTTAACCAGCAGGGAGGACTTTGAAGTTTACTCTAAGGAGATGGAAAGCCACAGGGAGGATCTGTCACTGGTGAGAAGTGGAGTCTGGTGGTGTTACAGAGTTTGCCTTGGCTGCCACGTAGGCAGGAGTAGAGTAGAGAGAGGGGCCAGAGTAGAGGCAGGAAGAGCAGGAGATGGGGTCAGAGACCACAGAGACATGGAGAGGGCAACGGTCACAGACTAAAGTCAATAATCGATGATGGGTTACACTGGGGTCAGGAATAAAGGAAAGAGAACAAAGAATCCTGGCATCTTCACTTGAGCAATCAGGTGGAAGGCAGAGCCCTTGAAGAAGCCTGGAAAAGAAGCAAGCATGCTGAGGGCGATGAAGTGCTCTGGTTTGGACATCTTCCTTCTGAAATTCCCATGGGGCATCCAAGTGGGCTGTTTGATGAGCATGTGTGGTGCTCCAGGAAAAGGAACATTTGGAGTCAACAGCAGGCAGATGGCCCCTCCGATGAGGACGTCGAGGATTCCAGGGCTGAGGCTGGGAGTTCGCCTCCACCACAATGAACTCGAGCAAAGGAGGAGGAGGGAGTTCTAAGGACAAGGAGGCAGAGAGAGAGGAGATCAGCCTGAAGATGGGATGTTACAGAAGCTGAAAAAGGAAAGGGTTTTGAGAAGGAAGGAGGGTCAACTGTGCTGACAGGTGGAGCAAAATGAGGGTCTAGAGGTAACAAAGGAGAGGCAGTTGCGGCATCGCGGTCCAGCCCTGGCAGAGGAGGCAGTGGGTGCCCTGAGGCAGAGCTGGAGAGTCAGCGGGTGTGGAAGGAAGGAAGGTAGGAAGAGGTGAGGCTGAAAACAGTACAAATGAGTTGACAGTTGGTGACACAAGACCCACATATGTTCCTATGGAAGCACACTCTCTAAGGGAGGACCCCAGGCAAATCATGGCGGAAACCAAGAGGACAAAATGAGGGGCAAGCCATGGCAGGTGGACTAACACCAAGATCTGGTGAACAGAAATTCTCCAAGGATGTGTTAAGAGCAGCAGTTCACTTGTACAATAGGCCGGTTTGGCTCTCAATGGGAAGAAGGGAAGGGAATTCACACACAAAGCCAACTTGGAAAAGTTTGTAACAGAACACCCACGTTTCTTCATTTACCCAGCATTTACCACTCGAGAAGTAGGAAAGCTGTGAGAGTTAGACCATATGGGCAAGCCAAGCTCCAACTACGAGACCAACTCCAGTGTGATCTGCTTCTGGTAGATAAGAGTGCCTTTGACCTTGATGCTTGAAATTTCCTCCTAGAAAAAGGCCATCGATACTTCTCAGCAGTGTGGAGGATATAAACAAAGGAGATTCACAGTAGAGGAACCAGGAATGGGTGACAAACTTGTGAGGAGATGCCCAACCTCACTGCCAACTAGGGAAATGCAAAATACATCGTAACGAGGTAATGTCTCTCCCCGCGGAGTGGGCAAATGGTCAAGTCTGGACAAGACCAAAGGCTACTCAGGCTCTGGGACACACGACCACTCCCAAACTGCTAGTGAGAGTGAACATAGATTCAGCCACTCACGGGAGATAACGGATTAGCAATGCCTGCTCGTGGTGGCAATGGGCACAGCCCAAGTCCTAGGAAAACCACTTCACGGTGTGTCTGCCAGAGCCTGTTGTGGCTCAGACAGGTATGCATGAGGTGCTGCTGGCAGCAGTGTCTGTAACTGCCAAAGAATGGGAACAGCCTGAATACCCATCCATTGGATCATAGACAAATAAACTAGGGCTGGGATTCAACCAGGAGCATGAGCAAGCTGGATGATCGGAGGAACCCTGAGCAGTAAAGCTTGAGTGGGAAAAGCAGAACGCAGAAGAGGATGTCTGCTCAGATGCCAGGCAAGGAAAGAGGAGGGCAGGCGACAACATTTGGAGGTGTGACTCCTAAGGAACTTGCCTGCCATCTAACTGGTGGAGCGGTTGTTCGCATGGCCCCAGACTCCTGACAAGACAGGAGCCAGATGGAAAGACCCAGGGTCTGGAGCTGTGTTTTGAACTGAAGCAGCATGGCCTCCCTGCAGTGTCTAGGCCAGGGGGCAAAAAAAAAGGGCGGGGCAAGGTCCGTCCCAATGAAGAAGACTTACTGTGAGTCAGACAGGCAGAGGTCTCCGGAGAGGCACAACATCCGCGCTTCCCTGAGGGCCCAAGAGAGCACTGCCACAGAGCCCATTAGGCTAGCCGGGGCACAAGGAACAGGAGTCACGTTCAGCACCCCACTCCCAGCAAACCGGATCTCTCATAAACACTCTCAGGCAGAGCCCCCAATTCTGTTATTTCACTGAAGCCTGGATAAGGGGCAAGGAACTCCCCAAAACACACAGTAGATAAGACCCGAGGGGTTATGCTTTAAGGAGCAGAAGCCGATTCTTGTAATTGGGACTTGGAAAAAGCTAAATGGGAAAAGCCACGGCGTCCTCCCTGAGGCCGGGCGCCGGCACCTGTGGAGCGAGAGGCTTCGGCCCATCCTGCACCCTCAGCGGCCTCAGCCCGCAGCCTGCAGCCCCCCAGTGAGGCGTGGGCAGAGCAGGACGAGGCCCGTGCGAGCGCACACGTGCGCAGGTGGCATGTACTCCACGGAATCTCACCTGGTGCCCCTCGAGCGCAGGTGCTCCCCGCCGAGCCTTGGGACAAGACCAGTGCTGGGGGCGGCGCACGGGGAAAGGCGAGGGGGCGGGAAGAGCAGCGGAGAAGCCCCAGAGGCTCCCCGGCCCCGGCCCGAACTCGGCTCAGCGCTAGCCAGCGCACCTCAGGCCCGGCCAGCGGCTCTCCGGGGGCTACCCCAGGGGCCACCCCGGGGGCCGCTCGCCACGCTGACTTGCTGAGGGCGCGTTCCGGGACGGGCGGGGGGCGGGGCAGGGTCCCCCATGGGCGCAAGGACTCTCAGACCCCGGGAGTCCCCACCGGTGCCGGCGCCCCCTCGGGGGCGGGGAAAGGAGCAGGTGACGTCACCCGAGATCCCCGGGCGCCCGCAGCGGGGTGACAGCCCCGCCGCGTGACGCGAGCGCGCCAATGGCCCGGCGGTGTCCGGGGCGACGCGGAGGGTCTATATT